CCGAAGAATGGTGGCTGCCGCCGTAGTTCTGTATGCGACGGCGGAAGTTCTCAGCCCGCCATCGAGTCCTACACTGGGAAGCTCTAAGCCGAACCCGATGCACAATCTGCAAAGCATCGAGCATCAGATGCTGGATGGCCCGATTTCGGATGAAGACAGTCTCAAGCGCATCGAAGCATCCAGTTCTGTTCTTGGGAAGGAAGAAGAACTTCAAAAGTCTGTTGCTGACCTATTTGCAGACGTTGCAGATGACAACAAAGAAGCAGACTCTTCTCATGATCGTGAAAGACGTCGCAGGCACCGAGTCTCTCACAACTCTTCCCATCAATCCAGCCACCACTCTAGCCGCAGCCGGCCTGAAGACTCGAGTAAGGATGGCAGTAGCCGCCGCCACTCACACCACTCGAGTTCGTCCCACCGCCGGCATCGCACTGATGCCGAACGCGAGCATGACCGTCAGCGTGACCGAGAGCGTTCGAGTCGATCGACTGCGGACGCCGATCCCCAGACGCCACCGCGAACCCCTAAACGTCAGGATAGCGGCTTCTCCGCAGAAAGCCCTCAGGCTGCCGGCTCCGCCCGCCGACGGTATCGTAGCGAGCGCACACCCGAAGAACAAGCCGCCCACGAAAGGAGAAGGAGGAGCGGCGAGCACGTGAACGTGCCGAGGAGGAACAGGCAGCGCGCGAAAGGAGAAGGGAGGACAGACGGGCACATGAACATGCCCGAGAGAATCAGGCTGCGCCCGATCACAGACGAGAAGAGCGGCGCGAGCGGACTCCGGAAGAGCAGCGGCGCATGAGCGGAGGAAGGAGGAACGTCGGGCTGCCCGCGAGAAGGAGCGAGAGTTGGAGAGAGGTGAAGAGAGGCGCAGAGAGAAGGAGAAGGTCACGCAGCTCGGCAGTCAAGGAGAGCAAGGGTAAGGAACCCGAGATGGACGCCTCGTCGCCCGCGGAGCGTGCCCACCACCATCGCCGAGTGCGACGCCACAGCACTTCAGTCCCCAAGGATGAAGGGCCCGCCTCGGCGCTGCAACCGTTTCGACCAAGAAGTTCTTCGGCATGAAGATGCTGAAGGCGGTGTAGGGCTGGGCTTCCAAAGCCGTCATCCCACGCGAAGCCGCAACGCCTGAGCAGGCCCCAACGGTGACATTTGAGGGAGCTTCGCCTTCTTCTCGTGAGGTGCCTAAGCGGTCGAGTACCACCCGCTCTCGGCACGGGCATGGGCACAGGTCTCGCACGGAGGACCTGTCCAAACTAGCGCGAGCTCGAGACGCTGTAGCCGAGGAGGCTCGCGAGGCCAAGGAGGCCAAGGAGGCCAAGGAGGCCCGAGAAGCGCGGCGAGCAGCGAGGAGGGCGAGGGAGGAAACTGCTGCTTCAGAGGAAGGGTCTAGCACTAAGGGCGAAAACTCTCGGAGGAGGGCGAGGGAAGAGGAGCGGAAGAGGACGCGTGACCGTGATACCGAGAAGGAGAAAGAGAGGGAGAAGAACGGGTTCAGGGCCGCGTTCAAGCGGCTGTTCACATCATGATTGCAACGACGAGCGACTCGGAGAAGCGCAAACTGTACGAAATAACTTGTCACATCTCTTTTCCTCCCTGAGAAGAGGACACACGTATTGGGTAGACTGTTTTTGCTGTAGCTGGGGCACCTCGAAGCGGACGGGACGGGTGTTGAAATGTTT